TTTTTTTTTAAAATGGGCATTTTTTTTTGTCCATTTGGCATCCACACAAGCCTTTGGATGCGTTTAGTTCTGGTGAGCTAAAAATTGGTGGGATGCCTTAAATTCCCGATGCCTGTAAAGTTTAATGGTAAAGAAGAAATATGATAAATGTTAAAATAATAGAATTAACTGACAAATACTTCAAAAGATTAAAACTTGTATGAAAATTATTTTAAACCAAAACTCTTTAAATTTGCAGGAACGGTGTACGTACATTGTCAGAGCGGGATGAGCCGATCTGGGTCTATAGTGCTCGCCTACCTCATGATAAAGAAGGGGATGACGGTAATGGATGCCGTCAAACACGTGCGAGATAAAAGAGAAATTTTCCCAAACGATGGCTTTCTGAAACAACTTTGTGAACTTGATCAAGAACTACAGCAACAGAGGTGAACTCTTATATAGCTGTTCAACTTGTCAATTTCAGGCGATAGAATTCAGCGTTGCATAAACGCATCTTTTGACACGGCGACGGAACTTGTGCGTTCTCGAAACACAACTTGGACCTGAGAAACCGCTAAAGGACGTCATTCAAAGAAAACAAACAAACAAACATCAACATATTATGTGTATAGAATTTTTAATTCATTGCACTTCCACATCAAATATGAATTCACCATAAACGACCGTTTGTTATAGTGAAGGACTATTTTTATCATGCCTTGTTTGCAATAAGGGATAAAATTATTTTAACTGATGACATTTTGTCTCAAGGCACAGAATGCTGACTTATTGTTATACAGCCATAATTAATAATGAAATATAAAAATCAATGAAAACAAAATTGTAATAGTAAACTTAATAAGTAATGCCAAATTGAAACAATTTTTTTGAAAAAAAATTGTAAAAGTAATATGACCAATAAAAGTTTTGTATACAGCACCATTTACAAATAATGAAAAATTAAATCCTGGCCCGAAATATAAGAATCTTCAATTGTTGAATTACTGTCCACACATCTGGTACAACAATCCACAAAACCATGGCAACCAGAAGTAACACCCACGGAGTTCCGGAAACATTTGCACTGGGCCGGAAGTCTGGGATTGAGATCTTTTTCTTAAGGCTTTGTTAGTTATGTTTTTGAGAATTAGTAGTTCCTGTTTCATCCTCTGGATTTCCTTCAGTAGAGCCTCGTCATTAGGAGATGTGTAACTGGGGTTAGTCACTCTGTCACACGGACACATACAGCTCCCAGAGGCTGCAAATATAGGACTATCTCTTAAGTTAGAAGTAATGGGCCCATCATTAGAAAATCACGAAAGAAGAAATTACACACACATATACACGAGAGAGAGAGAGAGAGACTACATACCGATACACATAGGTTCACTTCCGCTCCACGTCCCCCCATGTAAACAGGTTCTCTCGAGATCTCCAGATTTTAAATGAAATCCTGTGTTACATTCGCAAGTCAAAGATTCGGAGACGTGCAACATCCCTTGTGGACCAATATTGCACGAATAATTCCCGTGTGTTCCATTCACACGACAGTGCTTGGGGGCCTTTATCATTGATGCCGATGTTTGTGGTGAAGACGTTGGCGATGATTGAGATGACGACAAGGATTCAGACGTCATGATGATTGAGATGACGGCAAGGATTCCGACGTTGACGACGATTCAGATGACGATAAGGATTCCGACGTTGACGACGATTCAGATGACGATAAGGATTCCGAAGTTGACGACGATTCAGATGCCGATAAGGATTTAGACGCTGACGACGATTCAGATAACGACAAAGATTTAGACGTTGACGACGATTCAGATAACGACAAGGATTCAGACGTTGACGACGATTCAGATGACGATAAGGATTCAGACGTTGACGACGATAAGGATTCGACGTTGGCGACACTCCTGAAGCCAATGATATGGATGCACCGGTCGATGAAGATACGGACAGTGTTGTAGACAAAGACGTCGGTGGAGTTGCTGTTGAGAATATTGAATTGCATTAGGTGGTGGTACTTGTATAAATAATGGGAATAGAATAAATTGCCTCGATACATTTACCGGTCATCTTATGATTGAATACTGAAACATTATGCCGATAAGAATGGTTATTATATTGACTTGTATGAAAATTTTTTTAAAATTACTTCCATTGATTTTTGTCTTGCCTATACACCGAATGACTTACTTGTTCCTTACGTATTACTTTATGTCTTACCCACACAAAGATATAATGTTCTAGATATCGTTTACATGATAAATGTCCTACGGATTGTCGCAGTAGGTGCTGCCAGGAAAAAGTTTCCTCCCTGCTCAACGGCCGTAAGTGCCAAGTATAGGACAAAATTTGCAGCTCTCCACCGGCAAGTGGTGGCGTCTCCATATGAGTGAAAAATTCTTGAGAGGACATTAAACAACATATACACGCGTCGACCTCGTGGCGCAGTGTTTGAGCGTCTGCACTAGAGTCCCGAAGTAAGGAGTTGATCCTTACATCGCGGGTTCGAAGTCCACTCTGGGACGTGGAGACCGGTCCTTCGGATGAGACCATATCAACCGAGGTCCCATGTTGCAGTAGGTGCTGGCACGAAAAAGATCTCTTCCTGCTCAATGGCCCCGAGTGCCGAGTATAGGACAAAATTTGCAGCTCTTCAGCGACAAGTGGTGGCGTCTCCATATGAATGAAAAATTCTCGAGAGCGACGTTAACCAATATACAATCAATCAATCGGTGCAAATCCTATTTGTATTTGGAACGATTCTGCAATTTTCGCTGCATTGCGAGTATATGGGAGGTATTCTAACTGTGGTGAGTGCTAACTAAATTATTCTAACTAACCCACACACTGTACGACTTGGTTTGTTTGTCCTTCCCATGTGTTGTTGTCGTTGCAGAACTTAACAAGATCTCCGGAATGGTGTACGTATCCAGGACGACAATTATACTCAATGTAAGTAAGGTTTTGGGAAACCAGAAAACTATTTCCCTCTTCACAAAGCGGGTCACCACAAGTTGGAACATTTTTTTCTAAAAAAAAAATAATAGAGAATAAAGAAGTTATAAAGTATTACTAACAAACGTCTTTCCTGAATTGTAAATACTGTTAAATTGATCACTGATTCGTATTTGAAATGATATTGTACCAAGAAAGGGAAACACGTTGATTTCTATTTCAATATAGCTAGACGTCTGAGCCCATTTTCCATTTCCCCATGGGTACATGATCTTAAACACCGGGAAGTGTTTTGCTGAACGTTTTGGGTTTAAAAACCACGTTACCACCTCTACAACAGAGTAGCCGAAAACAAATCCACCTCCGTGCGTCCCTGACAACACGACGGATCCACTCCCGTAGAAGTTAAACCCCTCGTTTACTCCATCCTGTGCTCGTAGCTAATGTAAAGTATAAAGTTGTTTTTTGTGAATATAGGAAAGAAACGTTAAGAGACCGAGAGATCAGACTGTGTAATCTTAGAAAAAATCTACAGCCAAAACATCATCCTATTTTGTAGTGTTATATTTTTGAAATATTAAGGTCTTATCATACCTTTACAAGCACCAAACTTAAATCCGTGTGTGGAAAATCCAGGTAGGGAGGAATGAGAGTGGTAGTGGAGTTAAACATTGTCTGTGAAGAAAATTTTAGCAGGCACTTGTGTGGGTCTATCTCGAAGTGCCAAGTCAGGATACGCACTTGGACCGAGATGGAAGTGAAGGCAGACGTCGTTCTTCCCCACCCAATAGTGCTAATAATTTTACCTGTAATGTTGAGTTTGACAGTAAAATACTAATTAAAAAACTGGGTATATCAACATTATAATGTTCGCATGTAAATTATTTCATATTACCATTTGAGTTTGCCCATAGTCGGAGTGTGGAGCTGTTATAAGCAAATACAAGCCCTCCTCCGTTGTCGCCACATTTACCAAAACAGGAGGGAAGACCTGTAAACAAATGCATTGTAAACCATAACGCTGTGTGAATTTTTGAATTTTAGATGTACATTTTTGAGAGTATTCATATTTTGAAAGTGGATATTGGCCTCTTCGATAATAGCTAACTTTGAACTTCCGTTCCTTTTCGGATACTGTGTATCCTCACCAATTTTGAATTTGGACAAGTGTGAAATTGAATAAAGTATTTTGCTACCTTAAATATTCCTTCATTTATATGACTTTGTAAACTTAAGGAAACCTTCCTTGCAACATTAAATGAAGTAGTACCTAATGCTTCCGATACGACGTGGGAGAAGAATCTGTTTGTTCCTGTCGCCTGACTGTTGACAGGGTTTGTATCTACTGGCCTAGCCTGGACTACCACGATATCCGGCTCCACTCCCCCCTGTAATGGTACCTCGAAGAAAGGTTCAGCTACAGGAAAATAATAAACTTCGTTAAAAAAACCCACGTCAATGGCAAATCTTCGCTTTATTTATATTTTTATCTTATGTACATGTATTTTGTTTTAATTCAAAGATGGAAATATCATTAAAGAAACAAGCAAATTCAAAGAGTTGTGGTCCCCCGCTTTCGGTGTCTTTGTGGGTGGGATGACATATTGTGTCAAATCTTGTCATAGGTAATGCACATGTCAGATATGAAAGCCCTATCTCTTCTCAATCAAAAGTTATAAGAAAGTGAACCTGATGACCCCGTATGGCAAAATAGCGAAGACTCAACTTTTCTTAAATGCAAATGAAATATATATTGGTAGTTTCTTAAGAAAGGTATTGTCACAAGTGTTACATACGTGAAGTATGAAAGCCATTGCCCCAACCGTTCAAAAGTTATGGCCAAGGTTAAAGTTTGTAAAAAGTAGGTCAAACTCTAAGGTCAAGGTCAACGTTCTTTATGTCCAATGAAAGGTCTTGCCACAAGTATAACATATGTGAAGTATGCAAGCCCTTGCCAAAACCGTTCAAAAATTATAGCCAAGGTTAAAGCTTTTAAAAAGTAAGTCAAACTCCAAAGGTCAAGGTCAAAGGGTCAAAGTTATTGATATCCAATGAAAAGTCTTGCCACAAGTATTACATATGTGAAGTATGTAAGCCCTTACCCGGACCGTTCAAAAGTTATGGCCAAGGTTAAAGTTTTTTTAAAAGTAGGTCAAACTCAAAGGTCAAAAGGTCAAAGTTGTTGGTATCCCAGGAAAGGTCTTGTCACGAGAATTAAATATGTGAGGTATGAAAGCCCTATCCGTTACCGTTTAAAAGTTATGGCCAAGGTTAAAGTTTTTCATAAGTTCGGAAATCTCCAAGGTCAAAAGGCCAAAGTTGTTGGTATCCAATGAAAGGTCTTGCCACAAAGAATACATATGTGAAGTATGAAAGCCCTAGTAGGTATCTACTGTTCAGAAGTTTTGGCCAAAGTAAAAGTTTTGAATTTTTGTGTAAAAGTGGGTCAAACTCCAAGGTCAAAAGGTCAAATTTGGTGATACCCAAAGAAAGGTCTTGTCACTAGAAATACACATGTGAATTATGAAATTCATAGCTCCACTAAATCAAAAGTTATGAGCAAGGTTAAAGTTTTTGTGACGGACGGACAGACTGACTGATAGACTGACAGACGAATGAGATTTAACATCCCCTCGCTTTCGCAAAAGCGGGGGACAATAATTAGGTAAATATCTCAATATTTCAGCTAAACCTCAAGGCGTCAAGATACTGTGTATGATGATTAGAAGCCAAACTTTAATATACGTTTTACATTAGACAACATTTCCATT